CGTGTTGAATTATATGAGCCTTGCGATGTTGAATATCGTAAGAATAACCGGCTAGTGTGACACTCCATCGCTGTACCATGGCCGCTGATTACTTTTCCAGAGATAGGTGGCGATTCTCAATGAACTTCAATGCCTCGTGGTCCGATATAATTGTGAAATATGAGCCATATAGGTATTTGTGCAATCGAGTAACAGCCCAGTATACTGCAAGGGCCTCTCTATGTGTTTGAGAGTAACCACGTTCAGCATGAGTGAGTCTGCGAGAAATGCATAGACCTGGATGACCGTTCTGCTCCAACACTACTGCAATGCCAACTGGTGATGCGTCTGTAATTACCGTCGAATGTGCTTTGGGTGAAAAAGCATGTAAAACTGCATGAGTGGAAAGAAAACTTAGTAAGCTTCTAAGGGTGATTTCATGAATACGTGTCCATTGAAATGTTCGCTGTGAGACAGATGTGAACAATGGTTCCGTTTTTGTAGCAAAATCTGGGATGAATCTAGAATAATACTGAAGTGAACCGAGTAATGAACACAGTTCTTCAACTGACTTGGGAGAAGGTGCGTTAGAAAGAGGAGAAAAGCGAGTAGGATTAGGACGAAAACCATGTTCATCAACAAGAAAACCCAAACAGGAACATTTTGGCGTAAAAAATGTACATTTATTTGCATTGATAGCAACACTATGGATATTGAACCGTTCAAGCAGTAGGCACAGACGCCTTTCGTGTATTTCTTTGGTTGGAGGATGAACGATAATGTCACCTTGGTAAGCTGAACCCCCGCCAAACCAGAAATAAGAGAATTCACAACATTTTGAAATATAGTAGGTGAAACACTAAGACCAAATGGCAAAACGTTATAACGAAATAGACCAAATGGTGTATTAATTGTGGTCAATGCGCTAGAATTCTCATCAAGTGGTACCTGAAGAAATGCATCCTTTAAATCTAGTTTGGAAAAGAACTTTGATCCATGAAATTGATGGAGGATGTCTTCGGGTTCAATGGTTGAGCAGCTAGTTTGCTTTAAGTACCTGTTGACTGTGATACGGTAATCCCCACAAATTCTGGGCGTTTTACCATCACGTTTCAACGA